TTTCCCTCAACCTACACCTTTTGGTTTTGAGGGTCGTCATTGGCGCTGACGAAGCGTAGCAGTTAAGGCTGCAGTCCACTGGATGAAAAGACAAATTTGAAATACATGATGTGATATAATTCTCTTGCAATCCGAATCCTTATTTTTACTTCAACTTGGGTGAACAAACCGCTCCTGCTCTGCTACATCATACCACAAACGCCTTGATCCATCAAAAATTTATTCTTACCCTACATTTCTAAAGGGCTCTAGCCCAAATCAGTCTGACTTTGGAACTTAAAATATGCATACTAGTTGTCTTGTCTATCGACATTATAATTAGATCTAGTTCATAAAGTCGTTGCTCTTCTTTTTCTTTAAAACATTGAAACTTTTAAAATTCACTAGGAGTTAAATTTTTTATTTTAGCTTTAGTTTTTCTTAAAATTTCTCTTCGTCATTCATAATGCACAAACATCACAATGAAATTGGACTTCCGTTTACTTTTATTATCATTAAATTGAAGATTTCCCACTTTCTCCACATTATTTATGATGTTTTGAAATTTTATGCGTAGAAAATTGGGGTTTTGAGGAATCTATTGTTTCATAATTAATAAGCTTTCTTCCATTTCGAGTGGAAATGCTTGGTGAAAAGATTGGAAGGTCGATCCCATCAGAATGCGACGTTGGTTTCCTCTTAACCGGCTACCAGTGGCTTTACTGAAACCTTCTTGTTGACGTTGGTTCTGAGATAATCTCATTAGATTCCGATTGCAACGTGCTAAGCTTTCATCATATTCCTGATTCGTTAGCTTGAATATGGTTGTAAGGATGATACCTTGCTCTGATTATGACGAAAGCCTGGCACGTTTTTATCGGAATTGAAAGTGATTACTTTAGAAACAGTGTCAATAGGAATGTTCCAGTAAGGCCATTCGACAACTGATCAAGAGGAATTCACCGTCCTTTTCTGGTGGGATCGACCGTAGAATCTCTTCACCAAAATTTTCATTCGAAATGGAGGCGCTAAAATCCTGAAATTTTAACTTCTTCAAGAATTAGATTTGCCAATTCACGTATATTCTTGGATAATTCAAATAGAATACTTTGTTTACTTAGGAAAACTTTTAAATATATTTATGGTTTTATCTAAAATGGCATCTTTAATCGACTAACCATGAAAATATGATATTTACAACTAATCTTTTGGTGGCTCTGCCATTTTAAGGAACAATCTTAATATTTCTACCATGAAAATAATTATTTTCAAACCTAACTGTATCTCCTGATTTAGTGAATTCTCCATCTTAAGCTTCATTGGTTACTTTCTCAGTTTAAACTTAAACACCGAATGACTCACGGATTTCCATCTTTCGACCTCCCTCGTCTCAACTATTATTACCCCTACCTATCCTCATGGTTTTTCCACAACACACTCATTCTTCATTGTTCTCACCTCTTTTTCTTAATCTACCTATACTTTTCTAACTTATGCTTTCTTAGATGACGTCTTCCAAGCGACACCTGGTCAGTTTGGTCAATCTGTAAGCCAAGCTTCGTTCATATCCAGCCCTGACCCTGAGGATGAAGCTACACTTCCACCGTATCCGCCACCATCGTTGACGTCTTCGAAGCAACTTCGATCTAGAAAGACTCGATGCAGTTCATCCGGTTCCCCTACGCCTGGGCCGCCTCTACCACCTCTGCCTTTCGACCATGTGTCCGGCTCTCGCGAACATCTCAGTTCATGGCGCCTCTCTGCTCCATCTTGCTGTGCTAAGGCTTCACCAGGCGCACAATCTCTTGATGCGCTTCAGCTAAAAACCACTGGTTGCCCTTGCTCCTTCTATCCGGAGGAGTTGGAAAGCGATGAAGGTGACAATAATACAGAAGGGCCTCTTCCTTCTGCTTCGGTATGCCCAGCTTCTCTTTCACCCCAGGGTGGGCATGGACTCGACGTAATCTGCGCCCACAACAACACCGAAGCCTTGGAGGTGTTAACTAACGATGTTTTTGCTCAGCCAGAAAACTCTGGGGGTTCGTTGGACTCCAAAAAGACAAAAGAACGACGACCGGCGAGTGGTTTTGATACTGATTACTCTCATACCAGCATAAGTGATAAAGGCAGATCTCCTCTTTTGCTTCCTCGTAGCAATGAGATGACGTCTTCATCATTGTCAGCTCTTTCTCCTTCCTCCTCATCACTAAACTCTGACTCTTCGGAGGCTACCTCATCGGAGGAAGCAGAAACACGAGCCTTCTGGCAACGGGCTGATCATTCGCTCTCTTTGGTCGCTGACCAGATTGACAACGCTCTATTGGATACTCAAGTAGCTGGAGGCCACATCCACCTCCGCATGCATCGACTTCAAAAGGCCTGCGGGATAGAGCCACGATCTTTTTGTCAGAATCTTGTCAATAGCGGCTCCAGGCCGGAGGACCTTAGCCATTCGGCCAGGGGGCTATCTGAGGCTAGAACTCAGCAAAATGGATTGAATTGGTGTACTCGGCGAGTTGACATGGATTCTGCCTTTCGTGTTCCAGTACGTATTATTTCAAAATTGTGTAATAATATTAGGAATAATGGTTACTATAATAAAGATATGACTTGTCATCAACATGAATAACAAGACAGAACCGATTGCTTGTGCTTGTCATCAAGCAGGAATATCAATTTTCGTTGTGCTTCCTATCAATTTGCAAATTTTGCATCCTATTTTGACCTCGAAGCCACCTCGATCAATTCTTCTTTCTTGGGTGACTCAATCAGCACGTATAAATTCTTTTTTCTTACCATGCCTTATTCTCCCTATTCAGATTATTCGATTCACTATGGATCTCTAGAAGTTATTTTATATTATAATCGTATGAGAGTAGGGTTTCGAGACTACCAGTAAATCAATGTAATGAGATGTATTCAGCCTATTTCGTCTAGGGTGATGAAGGACTGGTAGTAGAATTTTCCCACAATGATATAAATTATGCTGACGTTTCCCTTGAATTTCACATAGCCTTGCTTTCCCAAAAGTTGTTCTCATCCAGACACCAATGTACTGCAGTTTCGACCTCGCATCGGTCTTATAAACACCCTCAGCGGAATTCGAACCGCGACAGTGCAGGTTGGAAGCTTGACACACTAACCACTCGGCTACACTGCCACGAGTACCCTTGAGTCACAGGGCATAAGTGAA